TATTTGGTGTAAGCTTGACACCATCCACTTCCTCGAGTTCAGACTAAATTGTCTTCATGCTGTGAAACGTTTCTGTTTGACGGCAAGTCTTGTAACGAATATTCTGGACTCGATCTCCGAGTTTAGAAATCGCACCACTTGAAACGGAATAGGGACATGCGATTAACTATAATACAATGTAGTATGAAATAGTCTGTCTGTGTCTATCTATCAAATCTCCCCCTCGCTATCTCTATCTCTCTCTCAGTCTCCCCCCTCCTCTTCCCCCTATTTTCCTTGACATAACTTCTTTCTGTCTATTTGACTGTCTGCTACCCCCCCCCTCCCCTGTACGCCTATATCTTGTTCTCTTGAGTCTTCGAAGAATTTTTTTTCAGCTTTATGATTAGCCAAGCCTAACATACTCGTAAAAGTTGTTCCTCTGACGTAACATGAGCTTTACATTACGTTTCTTATTATGCTCCAGGGCTTACCTACTGACATTTGAGAATACGCTCTTCATCTGAGGGTTCATCCCCTTACTTTGATCGTTTGTAATTAGAGATTACTACGTAGACATAAACCTCGATTATACGTAGTCATAATAACGACTGTAAGGGGAAAGAAGACAATAACTTCCATCAAATACGATAAACTGATTGTTGTCCTTGTTGATCTGTGAATACGTTGGAACGTATAAATGATTTTTTTCCAGAAAGTGTCTACGACCCTTCCAATGCAGGATAACCTCTAACTGGGTTTGGAATTGGTGACAAATCGTTTTGAAGAACTGCGTAAGTGCTGCTCCTACTAAGGAAAAAAAATCTTTTTCAGTATCTGTCGAGAGAAAATGCAGCGCTCATTAGATCTAGATCTAAATCTAGTTCAATTTTTTTTTAAAGTTCAGAACTAAGCTAAGAGTAACCTTTACGGAAGAGCATTTTTCAGTGTTTGTCTTTTGGCATGTTTAAATGAAACAGACCATGTTTATACTCAGTCAGTGTCTGCGCCCCCCCCCCCCCGTTCTAAATGACACAGGCAAATAAAACATAATGTCTCTTCTCAGGCACCGTTTTAGTTACACGTATAGTAATTATTGTCTCTACACGTCGCCCTCTTGCGGGTTCGTAATTGTGGCATAGCCTCCCAACGGAAATTGCCGTTTTACTACTGCTGCTACTACTACTACTACTACTACTACTACTACTACTACTACTACTACTACTACTACTACTACTACTACTACTACTACTGCTGCTGCTACTGCTGCTGCTGCTGCTGCTGCTGCTGCTGCTGCTGCTACTGCTACTGCTACTGCTGCTACTGCCACTGCTACTGCTACTACTACTACTACTACTCCTCCTACTACTACAACTACTACTACTACTACTACTACTACTACTACTACTACTACTACTACTACTACTACTACTACTACTACTACTACTACTACTACTATTACTACTACTACTACGAAATGGGTTCAAATTCTACCATGTGCATTGTTTTGAGAGTTTTTTTTAGAAAGCGTTCCAACTTTGTCAGTTGGACATTGTTGACATTTATCAGCTTGTCTCATATCGACCTAACTTTTGTGGGCAGGGGCGGCAAACTCCAAATTAGACACAAGATTTGTTTGTGTGTTGTCCTCTATTATCATCACGGTCGAATCGACAAAATCTTACAAGGACAGCACGCTGTGTGAATAGACTTATCTCGTCCTTCTTCCTAACCTTTGACCGATACTCCCGATTTCACAATAGAACTTGACTTTTTATGTTGGTGTTTCAAATTTCTTCACTTCATGTAGAGCTTTCTAGAGCCAGTTTTTGTCTATCTTTAAAATAACCATCTGGAGTTTTCTCAACTATCCGCCATGCGAACACTATCTCATTTCTTGTTATTCTTTTCTCTTCTTTGACCTCTTATCCCTCTCTTCTTACCACAAATTGCAAAATATACATGCATCTGTTGTTTAAACTCGACTAACTCTTTCGACATCATAAGGCTATTTGAGGATCGTAAGGGTCATTGGACATTACATCTCCACTGACATAGTACTACATAGTACTACGTGAGTAGACAACTGAAAACCTTTCAAACAATATCAGCTTGAAATTAAAACACGCTTTAAAAAGAAATAATGAGTGGGTTTGTCCGCCCAGCAGATCTATAATATTTCCAACACAAAGGCGAGTGGATTTCGAATGTACTCCTGTATTTATAACAGTTGCTCACCCTGTTACAGTTTCTGACATTGTAACCTTTATGTGTATGGCCTTGAAGCTGCTTCCCCTATCCCCTTATGGACCCCAATGAGCTGTGTCTGGGTACTATTAAAAGGCTGAATCAAACTCAGAATGCCCTATAGTAAGCAACAATGAAGCTCGTCGGTGAATCACCAATGCAGGTAACAACTTTCCACAGCTATAGCTTTGTCTTTTGATAGAGTCTCTGGTAATCTTCACCAGCAACACACGATGGCCAAACATAATGGCCATAATCAGAATGATCTTACTCGGCCTTCCAGAGGATTTTTATCTTAAAGTGGTGTCCTTTCAGTGGACTGAAGTGACCTGTCTTCAAAATAATCTGTTTTGGAGTGTAAACGCTATTTTTAGATAGACAAACAAAACGTTAGACCTTACTTACCCCAGCGTAGTGGTTTGTAGTTCCATCGGCCAAGTGCTTGATTGGGATGGCGCACGCGCTGGTGGTAGGGTCGTGGGTACAACCTGGAACAAGGACAGGAGCCATTCGTGAGAGTTCGGTTTACATTGTAAAGTACATGTTTTATACCGCTATAGATGGGAAAAGGGGGGGGGGGATAATTTATCAGAGGCAAAAGGGCGTCCTGTACAGGGTTACCAATTAAATAGCTTTGTTAAGAATTGCACCACAGTAGACTTCAGGTTGTAGCTATCACTTTTAAAATGAAGCGTCCAGCTTCAGAATATTGTAGCTAGCCTCCTTGATAACCCAAGCTTAACTGATTAGATAGCCGTTAATGATTTTGAAAGACGAATTCACCCCTCTTCCACGAAAACCCAAGCATTCACATCCAGATTATTGGATTCTGGCTAACTTTCATGGCAGTGTCAATACGGCCTTTGCTTTTGATAACATCCCTGTCCAATAACGTGTAGTTTAACAGCGGAAAGCAGTTCCTATTTATCAGTCGGGGTGTTGATCTCGTAAAGGAATCGTGCCAAGGTTCGACTGCGTCTTTCACATCATTGCCTTACAATCATAGTTCCCAAAATACGAACCACGGGTAAAGGTTTTATAAATAAAATTGACAATGTTTGTTTGTCCATAGACAGTATACATTTCGAAAACCGAACTATTGTATGGATGGCATGGTTGTCAACATGCATGTACAGCACTGCTGGTCCTTTTGGATTAAATTTTAAAAAATGAGTGGACAATGCTATTGGTTTGAGGGTATTTTTCAGCTTTTGTTTCTATCTTGCTTGTTCCTAGCACTACGACTGTCATTGACTCATTATATTGGTGTGCTTCTCTTTACTTTAAAATCTGAAAGTGAGGGAATAGTTTTAATTTTATCTGTCATTTTGTATCCGATTCTAATGTGTGTGGAATACGACGAGCAGATTCAAAATACTACCAGTGAACGAACACTGAAGTGACCATTTAGTAGCCTATCTGTCTTTGGCTTAGAACTTCGCACAAGCACCATTAGGCTCTAACCGATATTTCTTATATATCATTTGCTTAGAGTTTAGGCAGCGTCAGAAAACTGGGCTTCTCCGTCTAGTGGAGATTTGCACCAATGTTCTATCAACACAAGAGAGTCTTCCATGATCTTCTTACCTGTTCTGTGGGCGTGATCAATTCCTCCTCTGATGAACACGTCTTGTCCGGGCATTGTTTGTTTCTCCATCATGATGATGGTCCTCACGTACTTTCCACCTGTTGATGGCTGGGAGGTACTGCTGGGAGCTTCAGTTGTGATGTTCACACCTTGAGTACTGTTGTCCGAAACCGGAGTACCGTTATCTGATACTTGAGTAGAGCTGTCCGGGGTTTGAGTAGTTGCGCTCTCCGGAGTTTGAGTAGTAGCAGCGGCCGGGGCTTCAGTCTGGGTGTTCGGAGATACAGTACCTGGCACAAATGAGGCGCTAGGATCGCCTGTGGCCAATGATCGATAGGGGAGTAGGGAAGAAATGAAAATTAAGGGAGGAGCTACAGCTGAAGGCTATCTCGCTTATTAGTGGATCAAATGTTACCAAATTTCACAACTATAACAAGAATAGTAAGGAGTCTTAAAATCTGCAATCAAATTTGAGAGAAAAAAAGTTTCATTACCATGGATACGGCGGTCATATTGGATTTTGTTGAAATATGTCTTACGTAATTAATACCGCACTTATTTTCCTTGGAAATAAATTGTTTTTTCGGTATGCCTCTTAGCAAATAATAGATCTACAAATTTGTGTGATGAATATTTCTTAAACGTACTAGTAAATTTGTTTTAATTTTTTTCTTGAGGTAGTATTCACGTTTGCAAAAAATCCGTGAAAATCCACACTCCAAAGGCCACCAACAAAAATCTATTTCATATATCAAAAATTCACATCACAAATATTTAGTATTACATCTTTTCTTCATTATGTGAAAATGTCATGAAGATTGGAAGAAAATTAGAGGAGTAAATTTAAAAAGTATATAGAAAAACCACGTTTCGAGAAAACGGGTGATAAAGAAAAATAAAAGATTGACTTTATGAGGAAATGGTGGGGACGAACATGCCCTGCATGCGAAGAAATAAGGCTTTAGGGAGTTCTTATGCAATGGAATAATTGTAAGAGTGGCTGAAGAAGCTAAAAATGCCTACAACTTAAAATCCATAGTTTTGAGCCGAATCGGGACTTTTGGGGTGTACTAGTCGTTTTTATGTCTATGCATTTTTTTTACAGAAAGTAAGCCTAGAATGTTTTGCTCAACATATTTTAATCACACAATGGGTATTGTTTTATGCACGGATTGAAAATAAGGGTGATAAAAATCTTTAACTAGATTGTTGAATGTTGGTGCAAAAAGGGGAACTGTTATAAACATGTACATACAATGTATCGCAAACAGTTCGCATGTTTTTATTTTGTTGTTGCTGATTGTACTTGGGAACATGACTATATATATAT